GTCAATCCACTACAACTTAAGTGGCTATTTGAGACCTCTTTGAGATATATGGGGTTAGTGACTGTATATGGTGAATTGATTACCTTTACTGCGATAGGATATAATTTCTTTATTATTTACTAACTGAACACGGTATGCCAAACACAAAAAAAACAACATCTTGATTTAATATTTATTCTCAAAATTATTGAGAATTCCTATAAAGGTATAGAAAGAATATTTTTATTTTACCTGTCGTTCTATTATAACATCTCGTTCCTTCTTTGCAAGTCGTCCCACGTTATCGAGTATGCAATTTTCTTTGCCCAATATTTCCAGCAATAATGCCTCTTCTGCGGTCAGTGAACAATGTTCGCATCTAACAGTAGACGTCGATTCACTGCCGTTGGCGGCAGCTGCTTCGTGTTTTTGTCTAGCTGACCGCACAATATATTTCAGAGGTTTGTCTGATCGTCTGCCACGGATTCGTTTCACTTCCCTACTTGACTCACTCTCCGTGACCTTAACAGCATACTCTGATAATCCCTGTCGCTCGAAATCATAATCCCCATTCTCAAAATTAAAGTCCTTTTTCGAAATGTCCATATTTGAATCGGTAATGCGTAGGGTGTATTTGTCGTCGAACACGTTTAAGCTCGGGTCATCGTGAAACGGCTTCAGAAAAAATAAACGCGGCAAGATGTCTAAGAATATTTTACGCATCCTGCGACCTGGTCGGTGTTCAGACTTGTTGTGATAAACGCTCAGAACAAAGATACTAGCGACGATTGAAGTGCTAACGAATACCATGCTGAATATTATATATTTTACAATTAGCGGGATATCAATCGATGTTGCTGGCATGATGTTGGCGATTACCAGGTTTAATACAGCCAAGTTCAATAGAATCGAGATTCCGACTGTCAGCTTCTCGCCGGAACATGGTGGCAACATAAACGTAAGCGCCGTCAAAATTGAGAGAATATGACAAGGCATTGCTACGGTGATCAGGTAGTACAAGGGTCTCCGCTGAATCGTCAACAGACACGTGATCGTACTGTACGGCGCTTCGCAGCAAGGATAGAAGACGAGTTTGGACGTAACAGACGTATTCACAATGTTCCACTCAGTATTCTCTAAAAAATCAACTTTGAGAATCGTTGAAGTTAGCGGATACATCGCCACTTCTTCCGCATTTGTCTCCCAAGTGGTGAACCGATATTCACATTGTTGTATGTCGAAGGGAAAGTACTGGATGTATATGATGCACGGTGCTGTTAAAGACGCGGGAGCAGACGAAATGACAGTACCGTTGCTGAATAAACGGGAATGTCTAGCCACCGGAAGGACATAGGTGTCAGCGCTGAAATTCGAGTTGGAAACACATGTAAGTGACATGGATTTACTTTATATGTTGTCGCCCTCAAGTGATGGATTGAAGAGTATTAGAACTACTGCAATTGTCAT